CCCAATTCTAAACCCCAACTCTGCCTCCATTGCTAACAGATCTAAGTCTGACTTTCTCTCTTTTAAATTTTTATTTTAATTCCAGTTAGTTAACAGTGTTATATTAGTTTCAGGTGTGCAATATAGTGATTCAACAGGTCCCTGCATCACAGGTGCTCATCACAACATGTGCACTCCTTAATCCCCATCACCTGTTTCACCCAAGGCCTTCCCCCACACTCTTGGTAACCATCAGTTTGTTCTCTATAATTAAGAGTCTACCTCTTGGTTTCTATCCATCTCTCTATTTCTTTTTTCCCTTGTTTGTTTTGTTTCTTAAATTCCACTTATGAGGGGCACCTGGGTGGCTTAGTCCTTAAGCATCTGTCTTCGGCTCAGGTCATGATCCCGGGGTCCTGGGATCAAGCCCCACATTGGGCTTCCTGCTCGGCGGGAAGCCTGCTTCTCCCTCTCCCACTCCCCCTGCTTGTGTTCCTGCTCTTGCTCTGTCGCGCTCTCTCTCTGACAAATAAATAAGATCTTTAAAATTAAAAAAAAATCCACATATGAATGAAATCATACGGTATTTGTCTTTCTCTGACTTACTTTGCTTAGCATTATACTCTCTACCTCTGTCCACGTCATTGCAAATGGAAAGATTTCATTCTTTATGGCTGAATAATATCCCATAGTTTATATATACCACATCTTCTTTATCCATTCATCAACCAATGGGCACTATATCTTGGCTGTTGTAAATAATGCTGCTATAAACATAGGGGTGCATGTATCCATTTAAATTAGTGTTTTTGTATTCTTTGGGTAAATACCCAGTAGTGTGATTTCTGGATCGTAGGGTAGTTCTATTTTTAACTTTTTGAGGAACCTCCATACTGTTTTCCAAAGTGGCTGCACCAGTTTTCATTCCCACCAAGAGTGCATGAAGGTTCCTTTTTCTCCATATCCTCACCAACACATGCTGTTTCTTGTGTTGTAGATTTTAGCCATTCTGACAGGTGTGAGGTGATGTCTCATTGTAGTTTTGATTTGCATTTCTCTGATGGTAAATGATGAATATCTTTTCATGTGTCTCTTGGCCATCTGGATGTCTTTGGAGAAATGTCTGTTCATGTCTTCTGCCCATTTTTTAATTGGATTATTTGTTTTTTGGGTGTTGAGTTTTACAAGCTCTTTATATATTGTGGATACTAACCCTTTATCAGATGTCATTCGCAAATATCTTCTCCCATTCCATAGGTTGCCTTTTGGTTTTGTTATTGTTTCCTTTGCTGCAAAGAAGCTTTTTATTTTTAGCCAGTAGTTTATTTTTGCTTTTGTTTCTAAGTCTGAATTTCTGGATCTAGCATTGAAGAACTTCTAGTTTGTCCACAAAGAGTCTTTCTTGCTTATGCCACTGGCTTACATTTGTCCCTCCAGGTCCAGCATCCATCACCCTTTCCCCCTTGCCCTGGAAAAATGACTTGTATAGACTACATCAGGGGGCTCTTATGCACTGTAGCTTTGGGTTGGAAGAGCCATTCCAGAAGATCAAAGGGAGGCAGGAGAGTGAGGTCTGGGTATTTATTCCCCTGGTTCTTTCTTCTCAAGGTATTCAGCTGTGCAGGACTTCCAGATTTGGCTAACTGTTCCCTGTCCTTGTCCCATTGGGCCTGGGGTGGTAACAGGTTTGCAGCACTCACTTATGGTTCCTGACACCCCACCCATACCTTTGTAATAGTCATTTTATAAATAAACTTCAGTTACTCTAATTTGAGTGTGCCATCTGTTGTCTGTTTGACCTCAACCGATAGATGCAGTGTCTACTCTTCTATGGTCTTGAGTGAATCTTATACTCTTGCCATGATGGGTTATTTATTTTTTGTCAAATATATTATGTTATGTTCCACAGTTTCTCTTGAGAAGGCCTTCCTTTATTTTGGTAACCGCCTTGTATCATCTCACTCTAGCATTCATACAAGCTTAGTTTCTCTGATTTTGGATATTCTGGAGGTTTTCAGGGAGGAAGAAGTATTACCTGGCTATAGATTACTCATCAAAAGAATTCTATGGTTATAATTTGTTGAAGAAATGTTGGTTAAAGTTAAGTGAGTTTTATTCAGGATATCACAAAGTTATGCTAAAATGTTAATTACATTATAAATCCGTAAGACAGTTTACCATGCTCAGATTTACTTGACTTTTTTTTCTAGAGCATTTATAGGGACTACTGTTTCATAAGACACACTTTGAGAAATGAAGTTTATCTAACTCTCTATTTCAGTGTAAGAACATCAGTCTGAAGTTAGGAATGAAAAGCATAAAGCCTTAAGCAGACTTCAGCCTGGTCATAACTTCATATGAGCAAAAATTTTTTGCTTATTGCAAAAAAATGGGTTTATAAGTGTCGCACCTGTAAATGAGAACTGTTAAGAGAGCAGTCCTGTGGCAGAGATTAGTGTATATATGAAAGTCCTTTGAGAAGTATGATTTCATTAAATGGCTTTGTAATTATTCTATCACATACTCATTCTCAGTTGTGCACCTATGACCTGCCAGGACTCCCAGAACAGCTTCCACCAAGACAAAAATCCAAGACACAGTTCTCTGTGCTAATTTGAGTCAAACCAAGCTGTTGACATTGAATACCTGTATCCCTTCTGTAACTATCAGATTTTGTTTCTCTGGGATTCTGAATCATGCATTGTATACTACACAGGATAGATACGAGCAATAAACATGTTCAGTTGATAAATGTATGAGAACATCTGTGGGGATTACTGCCGTTACTGAGCTAGAGGTTCCATGTTTACCTCTTTCTGTACTGTAAAAATGGGTCCTTACTTAAAGTAACCTGTTTTTTGGTTTGTTTGCTCTTAGGTAGACTCTTAGTAACAAATTTAAGAATTATCTGGCATTCTTTGGCATTACCCAGAGTCAATCTTTGTAAGTATCTTTGTTAGATTACACTAAAGAAAAAAAAATACTTTGTCAGGTGAACTTGCACAGTGGCTTTTGATAACCAAAAAAGCTATACCATGAAATATGCGGAAAACTTAAATTGATAAAAACTTTAGCAATCTTAGACTAACCACAGACTGTACCATTTTGCAAAAGAAATATTTTTCAGTCCATTTTGTCTCTTGGACATACACGAGATTAGTGCTTTTACACTGAATGGTTTTTGTTCTTTGCTTATCTTTGACAACTTGCTGTGACCTGTTTCAACTAATCCCAAAGAAGGGAGATCTAAATTCTAATAAAAGTGCAACCTTCCATTGTGTTCACTTTTGTTTTACTTATATTTTTTAAAATTATTTTAGATTGTCCAGCTAGACTTTTTCTCTTGAGGTACTGGTGCTAAAATGTTCAGTAAATAATACTGTATAGGTTTTAGAGAAGCAAACTTCCTTTCTTTCTTCCTTAGAGAAGCTTTGAATGTTGTTTGTCCAAAGAAGCAGAATTCACTTTTAGTTCTTTTAATTATTTAACTTAAATTTGTAGTAATTTATTAAAATGTTTTAAAGTTGTACTTTCCATATATTTAATTTTTAACACTTAAAGTTCTGTATATAGAGGTTTTTATCTCTCAGTTTATCATGTTCTTGAAATTCTTTGCTTTTGAATTTTAGCTATAGGTTACAACTGCATATTGAACATTACAACAAGGACTGCTAACTCTGTAAGTCTGAAAAATTTACTGAAATATATATAGTGAAGAAACATTAGATATTTGAGATTAGACTTTGTTTTCACTGTAAATGGGAAATTGCTCTTGAAATCTGAACTTTTAAATAAATTTGTCCTTACAGAAATTACGAGGCCAGACTGAAGCTCTTTATATACTAACAAAATGTAACAGTACTCGTTTTGAGTTTATATTTACAAATTTGGTTCCTGGAAGTCCTAGACTTTTTACTTCTGTGATTGCAGTACACAGGTATGGTAATACTTTATGGATTATTGAATAATTTTAAGGCAATTCTATGATAATAGAGGTTTAGAGGATAAAGTGTGTAAGTATGGTACCATTTTCCTCCAAGCTCAGAAAATTGCAATATTCTGAAGATAGATAGAAGAACATTCTGCATTATCATTTAATAAGCACTTTGAAAGTATTTATAAAACAATAAGACTACTGAAGATTCATAAAAATTTCTACTTGAAGATTCTATTAAATTTTTAAGCTACCAAGGTAGTTACAGTGAAATAGAGAGTTCATTCAATATAGATAACCAAGTTGGATAATTCAGTTAATGAATTTAAAAAGATTATTTTAGGGGAACCTGGGTGACTCAGTCAGTTAAACCTCCAACTCTTAGTTTTGGCTCAGGTTGTGATCTCAGGGTCATAAGATTGAGCCCCACCTCGGGCTCTGCGCTCAGTGCAGTCTGCTTGAGTTTCTCACTTCCTTTCCCTCCCTTCCCCCTCCCCGCACTCTGTCTCTCTCTAAGATAAATAAATCTTAAAATATATATATTTTACTAGCAGTAGAAGGCATGTCTGGGTATTTCCCCAAAGAGTTTTGTTGTTGTTTTCTTTTGTGGTTGTTTGTTCATTTGTTTGCTAAATTATTTTCACTACCTTAGCTCTTTCTTTTTTTAAGATTTTATTAATTTACTTGAGAGAGAGAGAGCACAGAGGGAGAAGGAGAAGCAGACTCCCTGCTGAGCAAGGAGCCCGACATAGGGCTCCATCTCAGGACTCTGGGATCATGACCTGAGCCGAAGGCAGCTGCTTAAGTAACTGAGCCACCCAGGGGCCCCGCTCTTTTCTTTCTTTCTTTTTTTTTTTTTTAAATTCTATAAGGAAATGCAAGTTGACATTTTCTCATTTCCAAGATATGTAGAAACAACATATTTGCACATAATTTTTTGGGTGTAACTCAGCCTCAATCCACGTGTCATAAATTGCTTTGCAGGAATATTTTTCTAATGTCACAATTTCATTATTCAGTGCTGCACATTGTGCTCATATCATTTCCTCCGAGTTAATCTACAAAGGGTGGCAGCTGGGGAACTGCAGAAAATATGGAATGCTTCACAAATTTGCATGTCATCATTGTGCAGGGTCTATGCTAATCTTCTCTGTAACATTCCAGTTTTAGTATATGTGCTGCTGAAGTGAGCACCTTAGCTCTTAATTTTTAATCAGCCCTAAGTACGATGATGTTTTAAAAGCTTGGCTAAGATGACAGGCTGTTACACATATGCACAAATTAAGACTCACACACACAGAGAAATATATATGCTATTGTTTTAATTTGCATATCTTTATTACTAGTGATGTTGACATTTTTCTCCTTTTTTGGCTATTTACAGTTTTCTATTATAAATTTCTTAATTATGTCCTCATCTGTCATATATGTTGCAAATTTATTTCTTAGTTTCCTAGTTATTTGATTTTATATTTTGTTGATGATTTTCTAATCTACATAATGGTTTAAATTTTTTTTTAAAGATTTTATTTATTTATTTGCTAGAGAGAGAGAGCATAGGCGAGAGAGAATGAGCGAGAGCACAAGCAGGGGGAGCTGCAGGCAGAGGGAGAAGTAGGCTCCCCACTGAGCAGAGAGCCCAATGCGGGACTCGATCCCAGGACCCTGGGATCATGACCTGAGCCGAAGGCAGCTGCTTAACTGACTGAGCCACCCAGGCATCCCATGGTTTAAATTTTTTGAGACATAACTCATATAAAATTTACCATTTTAAAGTTTACAGTTTGGGGGGTGCCTGGGTGGCTCAGTTGGGTAAGTGTCTGCCTTTGGCTTGGGTCATGATCTGGGGGTCCTGGGATGGAGTCCCGCAGGGAGCTGAGCAGGGAGCCTGCCTCTCCCTCTGCTTCTCCCACTCATCCCCTCCCACTTGTGCGCTCTCTCTCACTCTGCTCTCTCTCAAATAAAATCTTTTTAAAAAATAAATAAGGTTTACAGTTTGATAGTTTTAGTATTTCACAAGATTGTGCAGCTATCATCACTACCCAATTCTGGAATATTTCTGTCACCCCAGAAAGAAACTCTTATAGCCCTATAGTCCCCATAGTCCTTCCCCATTCCCTCCTCTTCATAGCTCCTGGCAACCACTGATTTTCTTTCTTTCTCTACGGATTTGCTTATGTGGGACATTTAATATAAATGGAATTATACAATATAGTGGCCTTTCATATCTGACTTATTTCACTTACATAATGTTTTCACTGACCATCCATGTTACAGCATGTATCAGTACTTCGTTCTTTCCTATAGCTAAATAGCATTACATTGTATGAACATATTTTGTTTACCCAATAATTGTTGATAAACATTTGGATTGTTTCTACTTTTTAGCTATTATGAATATTTTTCAGTTCTGTTGGACATATATCTAAACCTTATTAGCTCTTTATTTTACTTTACTTAGAAATATAATCTGAAGATGAGTATGAAAGGAGTATATAAGCTGCTTTTCTTCAATAGTATAAAAATAAGTGTTCCCCTTACAGCATAAATAGTTTCCATTTTGTCCACTGGTTAAACATTGATGATTACAGCACTAAAGGAAATTAAGATTTATAGGCAAATGCTCAAATCCTCCTCTTTCACAATTTATATGTTAGGTTAATTAAAGTTAAAATCACAAGTTTAACAATGAGTATTATGATTTATATAAATGATTTCTAAAGTTATTCAGGCTGAGAAAATCCTTTAGTTTTATTAAGTGGGTAAATTCGCCTATAATTTTGAGGGGTAAAATTATAATTAATCAAATGTTATAATAAAACTAATCCAAAAACTTATAATAAAACTAATCAGGGGCGCCTGGGTGGCTCAGTCATTTAAGCATCCTGACTCTTGATTTTGGCTCAGGTCGTGATTTCATTGTTGTGAGATTGAGCCCCATGATGGGCTCCACACTCAGCGGGGAGTCTGCTTGAGGTTCTTTCTGTTCCTCTCCTTCTTCCTCTCCCTCTGTCCCTCCCCCTGTTTGTGTGTGCTCTCTCTCTTTTGCTCTCTCTCGAATAAATAAATCCTTAAAAAAACTAATCAAAACTAATAATACAGAACTTTCTTCTGTATTTATTATTTATCAATAGGAAGACATGGAGAGAAAATAAAGTTAGAGGGATTTTATATATATTTTATTTGTGTGTGTGTATATATATATCTATATATATATAAATTGCACACAGACACACTGTCCTAGGGTCCCTTTTGGAGTTGGTACAGAATCATTCCAATTTCCTCTATAGAGGAAATTGGGGGCACAATGTTTGTAGTTGCAATGTGAAAAGTAATTGTACTCCCAATTGTGCCTTTGACTAGAAGGTGCCTTTGACTAAAACAGAAATGGAGGGAAGCATTTTTTTTTAAAGATTTTATTTATTTATTTGAGAGAGAGAGCACATGAGAGGGGGGAGGATCAGAGGGAGAAGCAGACTCCCTGCTGAGCAGGGAGCCCGATGCGGGACTCGATCCCGGAACTCCAGGATCATGACCTGAGCCGAAGGCAGTCGCCCAACCAACTGAGCCACCCAGGTGCCCAGAGGGAAGCATTTTGATAGGGAAAAATAATTTCCATGTCTGTTATATGGAAGCATTGTTTTTCAGCTTAAAGAGAAAATGTTTCCTCTCATTTGTGCTGTATGATACATGTTGTCTTAAAAATTAGACCTCCAAAAATAGGTTACTGAAATACTACACTAAAATGATAAAGTCTATAAAAGACTGTGACACCAAAATTTATTGAAAAGCAAATTTTTAAATTTATTGTGATAATTGAGTGATATACATAAGTATTAATAAGTGTATATTTTGGTAGATAAGTAAACATAACCTAGGAAAACCACATTTTCAGTTTGGGTTGGTCTTTGTTCTTTTTTATAGAGCATATGAGACTTCTAAAATGTATCGTGATTTTAAATTGAGAAGTGCACTAATTCAAAATAAGCAACTAAGATTATTACCACAAGAACATGTATATGATAAAATCAATGGAGTATGGAATTTATCCAGTGATCAGGTATTGTGCAAAAAGCTAATGAACCTTTTGGGTCAGTACTTTGGTAATCATTTTTCCATTGTCATTGAGTTTGAATATTCACTTAACTCTGTTAAAATTAGCATTGTATCTCCTGATAAGCTAATATTATAGCTCTTGATATGAAATGATATTCTGATTTTCATGTTTTTATGGGTTTGTGTTCTTTTTAGCAACACTTGTTGTACATAGAATTTACAGGTGGAGTGGTCCTTGAGATTATCTAGTTCAGTCTCCATTCACATATAGACTAAAAACTCAGGCCCCAAAGAATTAAGTGACTTCACACATCTAGTTCATCTGAGAACTGTGTTCTTCCCCACATGCTGCACTACTCTCAACATCTTGATAACTTATGCTGATGGAAGATAGCCATGAGGTGGACAGTCGTGGAAGACTTTTAATCTGGTCTTTTAGGGTCACCTGGCTGGCTCAGTTGGAATAGCATGCAACTCTTGATCTCGGGGTTGTGAGTTCAAGCCCCATGTTGGGTGTATTTTATTTAAGAATAAAATCTTAAAAAAAAAAGAAAATCTGGTCCTTATGGAATTAAACGTAAAACTCATTTGGTGATTCCTACATCCATTATCATAACTTCTTATTTGCTCTTGAAGTTATGACCAGTTAAAACATCTAAGTTGGAATTAAGTAACACATCAATTTCTAAAGAAAAATTTTCTCTTACCTAAGAATAGTTTCCAGCCTCTGTGTTACACCCTAGGTTAGACTGATAACCTCTGGAGTAAAGCTATAGCATTTGAATGAAGAGCTTCTTGCTAAACATTGAATCATAAACTTAAGTTGTAATTAAATTTTGCTCATTTGAAAAGTTCTAGTTTTGGGGCACCTGGGTGGCTCAGTCATTAAGCGTCTGCCTTCAGCTCAGGTCATGGTCCCAGGGTCCTGGGATTGAGCCCCGCATCGGGCTCCCTGCTCAGCGGGAAGCCTGCTTCTCCCTCTCCCACTCCCCTGCTTGTGTTCCCTCTCTCGCTGTGTCCCTCTCTATCAAATAAATAAATAAATCTTAAAAAAAAAAAAGAAAAGTTCTAGTTTTAAACACTGATAATGGTTCTGTAGTATATAGACAGCTCTACATCTGAGTAAGTCCTCATCAGGATTCAGCAGTCTTTTTACTCTAAAGATGGTAAATATTTTAGGCTTTGCAGGTCATACCATTTCTGTCATAACTTCTCAGACTTGCCATTGTAGTGTGAAACCAGCCAAAGGCAACAAATGAGCATGGCTATGTTTCAATAAAACTTTGTTATGGACGCTGAAATTTGAATTTCATACAGTAGTCATGTATCATGAATTATTATTCTTTTGACTTCTTTCCAGCCATTTAAAAATCTAAAACTTGTTTTATGGGGCCAAGAAACTTGGCTTCTTGGCTTGTGAGCCATACAAAATGAGGCAGCAGGCCAGATTTGTCCCGCAGACCATAGTTTACAGATCCCTACCTTAGGTCATAGCTTAGATGTCAGTTTCTATAAGCTTCCCTCTGTATGTTACTGATGCAAGCTATACTTAATTACCACTTTACATTGTTCCTGCTCTAAAATACTGAGCTTGTCTGTACCCCAACATTAGTAGGCTTTATAAGGGTAGGGGTGGAATCACTCTGTTAGATCCTTACCATCTAGCACCACACCACAGGCATTTTAAATTAATTAAGATGTTCAGGATTATCAGAAATATTTTACTGAAAAGAGGAATGTCATTGTTAACCTAACTTATGCTTATTAAATATAAAATATGCCCTCCTATTCTTTTAAAAAATCCTTAGTTTTGCAAGCTGCTCTCTTCTAAAATAAGAAGAAAGAATGACATAAATAATTATTCCCTATAAAATTAGACTTAGTACTGTTTAATGGGATGTGGGCCAGGAAAAGGGGGCTAAAATTTTTTGTATAACAATTTTTTGCAAGATGAGAGTAGAGGAGGGAAATCTAGACACTTACACATATGTTTATTAACTTAATTATAATTAAGAAATAGGTGGTCTTTTCTGATGTTTCAAACCTGGTCATCCCAGAAGAGGACTTTTCAGGTTTTGGGTTTGTAAGTTAATGTTTTGTGTCCAAACTCAGCGTATAAAATAAATTCCTCTGGGAGT